CTGGTAAATTTTATAAAACAAAAATTGTAAGTAATACCTAAGACAGACAGAAAAGAACAAATAATTTAGTAAACATGAGTTACTTCCCCTTGAAATAAAGAAAACATGAAACCCAAAAGAACACCCTAAACATCAAAATTAAGAAATGTTGCAGGCTCATTTTAATTATGCCATACAAATTAATGGTAAAGTATTCATAAAAAAGTAGATGGCGATGTGACAGCAGTAATTGCAGAAAATCGGATAGCTGTCAACATCCGGATACTGGTACACTTTGTAAAAACAACCATTCTGTTCAACAGATAAACGTAATATGGATAAAATCAATAGGATAATCGTTTACAACAGTCCATTACCTATCCTAATACTCATTTGCGGGTGAACTTTCTTCTTGTAGGAAAGTTTTGAAAATATATAAATGAATGAGCATCAATGTAGACCACAACGATATTCGAAATCCGGGTTTTAGTATTGTCAATAAAACAAAGGGACAAGCTGTTAATCTGAGCCTGCAATTTCGTGAAAATAATATCACAATGCACATGCTTTTTATATAAAGTTATTAAATACAAATATAATAACATATTTGTTTACTTGATTTTTACGAATCAAAATAAAACTAATTAACACAACATGAAATTAACTGCTAATAATAACAGCTCCTTCCATAGGCCAAAATAAAAAGCATTCCATATAAGACGACGCCGCTCACCGGCGTCGCCAATAACAGATGATTCTTATATGAGTAGGTGGGACGTATTAAAACAGCGGGCAAGTGTAAAAGTATTGTGTGATCATCCAAAATCGAGTGTACGGAAATGGAACGGTAAGCACGGAAATTTCAACTTTTCGAAGAAAAATATAAATATACAATGAAGCTACATATAGCTTCCTCGCATTTTAATATTTCAGACACACAGAACACGGTGGCATGGAAACATGTATGATAATCTCCTATATACATCAAACGTGTGTGTTGTGTAACATCATCAATCATTTAAATGAACAGTTTCAGAAACATCTGCCATGCTTCCAGGATAAATGTTTTTTCTGATGTATGAATCAGCGATCACATTCAATATTAATCAGCTACCGATATAATCTTAATATAAAGAAGTGTAATCTTAATATAAATTAGTACGTACAGAAAACCAACCAAATATTTCTTATAACTCTCCCCTTTGTGATTGAGGAGTTGCTTTTACGGGTTGAGACATCAGAATTGCAGCTACCGTTTAACCCTACGTGATTGTAAGAGGCCGCTTAATTGGTTCGAATTTTTGGAGTCTATGCATCTCTTAGCATCTACAGGTGAGGTGATTTTGACCCTCCAGTGTTGCTTAAAGTTTGTAAGCCTTTCCGCTATTCCGAATTTTCGAGCATTTGACTTAAGGAACCAAAAAAGACTGTTGTAATATAAGGAGCATCGTTATATAACTATAGACCGAAACAGCATAAAAAGTACAATCTTTAATTGTAACAGAGAAATGCATTATTATTCTAAACATGAACATTTTAACATTTTATATGGACACACTCCATAACTACAGAATCCTCTGATAAAAAAACCAACTCATTTCTGGAAAACTGAACTTTACATCTGACATTAAACATCGTTTCTGAACGCAAATTATGTAATATTACCATTCCAGTGAATCACTGACTTCAAATTTGCATATTTCATTTCCCCACAGATACTGATATTTGACCTTTTGCTGCGTAGCTTTGCTAGAAGATTTTGAAGTACAGAAAAAATATTCCAAAGGAACATTCTATTATTTATCTCGTAGCGTAATCAATATTATTGATAAAATATTATCATGTATTATTACTATTATTGCATTGTACTTTATTTGTTACCCGATGAACCATTCTGCATGCAAACAATCGCTTATTTCATTAACTGTTCATAAAAGATAAACCATATACGGTAGCGATATGACCCGTAACCGTGACAAATCCGTATAATAATTATTCTTCGATGGTACGGTAATAATTTATTATGTCCATTCATTAAGGCATCTGGGAGATAAAAGATATATTATATCTGTCTATCTAGCTATAGAATAATCTATCGATCAATAAAATCGCTGATTATGATCACGACGATAGTCAGGGGTATTCATCTTCAGAAATCTTGAAGTTTATTAATCATATACAAATGTACCGTATAAAATGAATGAGACAATTAGGAATATTTATGTAGGGATAAATGTATGCCATATCGCGATTCATTACATTCTTTTACGAAGCTTACATATATGGTCAATAATTTGTTGCATATTTGTATCATTTTTTTCTGAAGACGCTCTGAAATGTTTTAAAGTTCGACCTTGTTTTATTATTGTTATCATTATTATTTGCTAAGTGATTCCATCAAAGACTCTACTGAACTTTACTTTAACATGACACCATTGAGGCACCGGACAAGAAATAGAACTGACATTTTACTATAATAATTATCTCATCCAATTTCAGAAAGGCAGTCACGCCCGAGGGATTTGCTTCTGTTACTCTTTACATCATAAGTTGGACTGCCGTCTCCGTTTACATGATGTAATAATCTTGGAGTACGTTATTTTTTAAGAACATGAACACGTAATAGTGCTGAGCTGGAGATCAAAGAATTACTCTATTGATCAACTTGTTACATGCCTTTATGGCATCACGTTTAAGCCAGCCAGCGAGCATTATGGGATTGATGCTTGTTAATGCCTGTTTGATTCACGCAGGATGAAAAAGTGGAAAAGTCTGGAATCGATCGAGGCTCGATTGATTAGCGCGCGTCTCAGAACTTGCGGACACTAGTTGCTCCAGCCGTATCTATCTATAAATGTTTTATATTTTATCTCCCCCCCCCACTCAGTATTAGCTTGAATAACTTGATATAGATTTAACTGGTGTGGTAATATATCTATGATATATAATGTGTCAAAATTTGTTCTTCCTAAGTGCTGGAATGGTAAGCGATTGATAGCTCTATGAATTATAGAGTAGAACGTTGTATTTTGGGAACTTTCCAATTTTGCAACAAGTAACAGAAAAGCGAGGCTTAGGGTTCCCTAGAGATACTTTTTATATACATTTATTGGTTGTGTAACGGCAATATACGTATGTTAACCTTGTTCAGATCATTATCTATATAAGATCATTATATGTTTATCTGAAAAATCAAATATTTATAAAAACTCAATGTTTATAACCCTTTCTACCCTAAACATCTTAAATGGACTTCAGTCTGAACAAAATCTTTAATATTTTTAGAACATTTTCAAAATAACAACTGACTGATAGCAAACAGCGCAGACCGTGATCACACGGCACCGGTTTCCGGTCTTTGCTAGTCGCATGGGTAGGTGCTTAGAAAATTATAAAAGTTTGAATCCCAAAACGATATTGAATATGATATACCCTGACCTACTCAATGGCATTTCGTTAAGTTTAATTGAACTGCTATTCAGTTAAAAAAAATGAACAGAGCAACATTTTTCCGTATATTAAAATTTAAAAAAATGAACAGAGCAACATTTTTCCGTATATTAAAATAAGACTAAAATATTAACAGAATTTTTCAATTGCTGCCATCAAAGTACGTTTAATCTCAGCTAGAATAATTTACGAAGTGATTCATATTCAGCCACTAGTTTATCTAAATATATCCCCTCCCTTGGAATAAGCAGAAAAATCAAAGTGAAAAATAACAATGCGATAAAAGTGATATTATAACTGCTTTTAACATAATACATAGGACCTAAGTTAATATATTCATTAAAACATTCCTAATGAAGTAGGCGGTGGTGCATTAATTTTATTATTTTCGTTTATTTGTAATTGAATTATTTAAGTAAACAATTTATTTTTTACAAAGATAATAGAGGCGTTGACTAACAATCAGACATACTATGTCTTCTATTCCTATTTTTGACTTCCGATATTTCTTTATATGTCTTATAAAGGTTTTTATCTAATTCTTTTTGAGTTGAAATCGAATCCGAGTAATCATGCATGTTAAAAAAAGACAATATATATTTATAAATAGTCTAACTGATATTTATCAATGAGATTTTGGAAAAAAAAATGGCATTATTCAAGAGGAAGATAAGATCTAAACTTCGATAAAAATAACTCGAAAGAAGAAAAAATTGCATTACTCCCATGAATTAAAGTACATAACGGACCTAGCTATACCCGGGTTAGTGCTATTTGTAAACAAAATAATGTAGGACCAAAATATTTGTTAAATTGTTTTGTTTGAAGTTCAGACATTTCAGAAGATATCTGTGTAGTCAAAATGATATTGTTTTTCGTGTGGGCGATATTTGCAGGCTTAAAAGCAGATAAAATACCAAAGAAACAATGTGATTATTAAGTTTTCATTAACTTATTTTTGTCAAAAGATATGCACATTTTGCTCTTTTAAATACAGTTAAATAAGTGCATGGGAATGTGTTACCTGGCAAAAGGTAGTATTATTTAAGATAAAACACATATTTTGCACCTGATACGAGTATAAGATGATACATGCAGTTTTATCGTGAAGAGTAAAAGTGTAATCCCACACAAAATAAGCCTACCATAACAAACAGGGTTTAACCTTGATAAAAATCAACTCTTAATGCAAATTTATTCCTCGGGTTAAATTAAACTTTATACATATATACAAATAGTTGATGTATCTCATTTATCGTCTGCTAAATCACAGGCGATTGCTATGTAGAGCATGTAGGACAAAACGCACCTTATTTACTATTAAAGTAAACAATCAAAAGTACATGAAAACGAATTCTTCCAAAAAAATCACACGTCACCGTCGACTGGTTTAAAAGAGACATGTCTCGTTCGATTTGCAAGTTTCCTAACTTCCTAAGTAAGGTTTATGGATTGCGCATTAGGCAAATAATGAGATCCAATTTACTTTAGTGCATATAGATGTAAACCTTCAAAAATTAGCTCATGCATATTCATGAAGATGTAAATATAAAGATAGAAAATGAACTTACTGTCTGTTAAGGTCGGCATTCTGCTCGGAGATGCTGCTCAGTTTAATCTCAAGAGCCGCTTTATCCTTGCTGAGGTCATCAATGAGTCGTCGGGCTTCGGTCATTTCTGCCTCGTACATTTGCTTGATGTGGCTTGTCTCTTTGCCCCATTTTGACCTCAGTTCGTCCAGCTCCGAACCCAGCTTTCTATTTTGAGCCTCGAGAAATCTAACTTTTTCGATATAGTTTGCAAATCTTTCATTAAGGTCCTGTAAGTCTCTCTTTTCTTTTTCTCTGTTGGTCTTCACGGATGTTACACCAGTGTTCGAGACATTGGCATACCCGCCCGGTCCCATGCCTCCCATGCCACCCATGTGGGACCCATAACCGTATTCAACGGTGCGAACGATGGAAGAGCCGCCACCGCTGCTGGATCTTAGCGGAAGTGATGATCGGCTTAGGATGTTGGAAGATGCTCGAGATCCAAAGTTTGACTTGTATGGTATGTCTTCAAGCGACTCATACCCACCGCCACCACCGCTTGAGCTAGAGGTGATCACCGTCCTTTTTTCTGTTACAGTTGACTGAGACATTATAAAGGTTTAAGACTCCGGTCTGCGAAAATAAGCACTGAAAAAAATGAATAAAGTCCAAAAATTTCATAAAATTTTAACCTGAAAAAAGCAAAAACTTCCCAAAACGAGTTAAATGTATTAAATACACTTTCACTGCAGGTAGTGTATAATGTAGATTGTAACTTAAGCTATGAATTTACTACCGATACGGTAATGGTAAAATGAAAGTAACGATTACGTTTAAGACAGCTTAAGTAAAAATAATATATAAATATATCTATCACACACTCTGCTGCTTTAACAAGTAAGTCCATATTAGGTTTAACAACGATATTTTCCAATACAAAGATAGCCAAACAGTGAATTTGTTTCAAAAATACGCATGCATATTTACTAAACAAATATCGTTGAGGTTTAATAAAATCCTACCTTCGACAAGTGTGTAAAACACAAGCTTGCTCGCTCTTTATATACTTTATAAGGCGACCATTAATGATATTTCAACCGTAGCGTTTCTATTGGCTCGCGCGGTCACGTGACGCCGATAGCTTCATGATTCAACAGGCGGATTTGAAATATCGGACAGACTGCCATAAATTAAGAAATAATTAGTTTGACAAATATTTCTGTCTTGGCAACTTATCTTTGCCAAGCCATCCTCTTAAGTAGCCGAATTTCTCGCGAGGAGAATAGCATGTTTATGAATTCTATTTGCACTTAGTCATTTTTACACAGTACGTTAGTAAGAATACGCGCCTCTGTTGACGCCCAAAAACGTATGCAAAAATGACAGTTCATCAAAAATGCGACGAGAAACAATAACACAAAACAACAACAACATTTTTATTATACTAATAATGCACTCGTGGGTTTATTTTATGCATCTGAATAAAAAAATATACAAATAAAAAACGACTTATTCTGCAGTTTTATACTTGTGCTTTCAACGTGCTGACTAAGATAAGAACGATTCTGTTTTTCTGTTTGTTTGAAAGCAATAAAACTATTTCTGGGTTTAATTCAATTCTTCAAGTATCGACTGTAAAGGAATAAATGTTTTGCAATTAGAAATGGTTTGAAGGTGTTGTAATATTGTAGGAATTGGTTTCTATTCTTCACATACATGTATTATATGTACAATCAATGTCGCCATATTTCTTAAAATTTCTAATTTCAAATGTATAAATTCCATATAACATTTTTATGTAACGTGTTTTTCTGATGATGAATAAGTATGTAAACATGCATATTTATTTACGTTTAAAACAGTTTATCCCCAACACTATAATATCAATTTTGTTGCTTTGAAATAACGTTCTAGAATAATTACTAACGTCATTAAAATGTAACGCGACATTGTCTTTAATTAATATTGAAAATTAGTATTGAAAATGTATTGTTTATGCATTTTTATTAATGTATAATCACACTATGTATGTTTATGTACTATGTACAAGTCAAAATAAAATAATGTTCTGTTCTGTTCTAAAATTTATACCAGAGATGTAGATTACATGTTATCTTTGTTTCTGTTTATAATTACTTATTTATGTGCTATATGAAAGTTTGATAAGACAAATAAGACGTAATTAGGTAAAGGACTGGGTAGTCCTATTGCCCGCACTCTTTTGAATATATGTAATTTTGCTTATAGCATAATGATGAATTTGTTTTTAAGTTATATGTAAAGTAGCTGCAATAATTATTATCAAAACTGCTAAAAGAAAAATAAATAATATAATAACTATTTTTTTTTACTTTTGAGTAAATCAGGTTTTCTTCTTGCTGTAATAAGTGAATATGTGGTTAAGGAATATGGATTTAACTGCAGCAAATATGTTTTTATATTCAATCACAATTTTGTATGTAAATGTGAATGATTGAATTAGCATGTTTTTGAAATATAGAACAAATGAAAAATTGAATAAATAAATAAAATAAATAAATAAATAAATAAATGATTGAATGAATGAATGAATGAATGAATGAATGAATGAATAAAATAAATAAATAAATAAATAAATAAATGAAACCTTAGCATGTAAAAACTGTTGAGACAATGAAGACGATGTAAAGTTACATTTTATTTAAGTCGTTTTGTTTTGTAAAATTGAAAAGACAAATACGGCCTATGCTATAAAATGTAGATGCATCACATGTTGTTATTAATTAATTTATATTAAATGTATTGATTAATTGATTGTAAATGTAATTTAACTGTTAGTTTAAACGGCGGCCACGCGTTCGTCATATAAGACCAGTGCAGACTGCCCTTTTGATATTCAATCGGTTCAAATTTTAAAAATTTACCAGAAAGGATAGAAATTGAAACAAAAAATGGACAAGCCTGTGTAAAATACTGAGCGTTGTAAAGGTGGAAAACTATTTTAAACCAACATCGATTTTATCTCAATTATTTGCTGCCTATAAAGACATAACATATAAAACCTATTTATAGAGAAGTTAAGTTAAAGAAACTTCTATGTTGTAAGGGAAAACAGAGTTTTATTGAACCATAGGAACAAAACAATTAGAAAGGACATTAAAAAATCCATCATATATGATGAAAAATGTTTTTTTGTTACTTTTTGTTACAAATAAAAGCACCTTCACAAATTATCATATACATGTGACTGCATTTACTTAAGGTTGTTTTACTATTATTCATATATCATATATACTCATAACACGTATTTGGACGGGTAATATTTCACTGTCTTTGACGTCATCTGTATAACAAAAAACAAACTAAGGCAAGCCGCGGTTAAAACACTTCAGGCAATATTTGCGTTTTTTTTTCATTCTTACTAACATAATATTTCAGAGAAAAGTAACACCCATTTGATGTTATATGATAATTCCTGTGTTTCATAAAATATAACTATGACTTATACATCAATAATTTAATGTTTTTTGTGCTTTTTGTTTAGACCATATATATTGTCATATATATAGTAACGTGCTGGCAAGATGTTAAAATGACCAGTTAGTATGACTATATCTATGTTGTTTTCAGCTTTCATAATTATATACAAGCGTACAACAAAATCTAATTAACCAGATGACGTCTGTGCGAAAACGAGTATTTATCTGTTGTTTATACTAAATACAATGTCGCCAAGTTTTCTGAACAAATGAAATTAAATTAGATCAACTAACTTGAGCTTGATTTAAGTTTTTTTGTCATAAAACAATTATTGTGAAAACATTACAGCTTCAATCATTTTTTTCCATTATTTGATTATGGAGGATTATCAAGATAAGTGCCCATCAACACTGATGTCCCGTTCACAGATCCTGAAATAAAATGGAACCGATGCGTAATGTTGAATTTTGTATGACACGTTGAGTAGCTGTGAATAACTGCTAAACAACCCTAAACGTCAACGTGCCAACCGGAGAACATCCCGAGCACTTTTTGACTTACAGGCGACAAACGAACGAACGAAAGAACCAACCAACCAGCCGACCGACCGACCAACCAACCAACCAACCAACCAACCAACCAAACAAACAAACAAACACACTGACCAAACAAGAATTTCCTTTTCACAATGGATCAATGGATCATCTACAATTTTAAGGAAATGTTCTCAGCACAATCTTGGCACCTGAAATGCATCGATTGCTGTTATAAATATCCTATTTACCAATAACCTTAAAGACTTAATCGAGCGTGGGCGTAAATGAACATTACTTAAAATAGCTAAATTGAAGATGCTAGGCTATCATCAGAGATAAAAAACAACTTTTGAAAGCCTTAAATACAGGAGGATCTTAAAATAACTGATATCGCATAATTCGGTGTTTCCATCTATGAAGTTTGTACATAAATACCAGTTATGTCTTGCGGGAAATTTCCTCAAGGAGCTTGCAGACATCGTACGCCTTAGTAAACTGTCAGAACCAGAAGAAGAAAAAATCGTGTCCAGACAAATTATTTTGGGGCAACAATGTACCTTCTTTGTCAAATACATTGAAACAGTTGTCAATTCAATTTAATTATATGGACTATTTATTTGTATAGACGAGTTCAGAAAGTATATGTACCTTTAGGAGCTTACTAGGGTATTGGCAAAAAATACCAAATAGATACGGGTACCGAATTCTATATATTAATTTTTTTAGGACAAATTCCTGCATTTAACTGCTTACTTCTTAATGTTTTCTACTATCCAGGTACCCCCTCCGTGGTCGAAGGGTTAAGAGTCGATGACTTATAATTCAGTTACCTCTCTGGCGTGGGTTCGATCCCTGGGAGATGCTTTGGTAGTTTAGCGCGGAGGAACGTAGTCTTGTACTGGTGTAACTCTCCAGGAACGATGGTTTTATGACTGAAATACTGTTGGGAAAAGACGTAAAATGAAACAAACAGACTAAAATACACTGCTCATAAAGTGAACAATATGTTATATTAATTATGTTTCTTCCCGCTCTTGGAATCAAGTTGATCTGTTAGTCGTCAAAAGCATTTAAAAATTGCATTTTCCATTTAATCTATTTACACAAAAGCTGTATATTTAAGATATATTCCAGTGAATTACTTCAATAATTCAGTTCATCTTGTAACATGGAGAAAAAAATACATATATACTTTGGTCAGAGTAGAAGACGTTCTCGCATGTTATTGATAAATCAATCACTATAATTATTCACGGTTCCATGATATTATATCTACATGTACATAAATTAGCCTCTAGGAAATCGATTACACCATACCTTTTGTAGAAGTATCGCTTGCTGAACTGGAATTAATTGTTGTTTCTTTTTTTTCTTTAATTGCTTCTAATACTCTATATCTCAATATAAATTGAATAGAAGAAGCTTATAAAATTGTAAAAGTGCCGATCAATAATTGTTATAATGCTTTGAAAAGTGCAATATGACATTTACTGGTTCTGAATATTGTTTAATTAAGCATTTAATGTCACGTGAGAAATACTGCAATATATCTAATTATTTTGAAATACTTTGTCCGTTGAGCATTTCGTTGTAGAAACATTGCAAATAAGGAATTTTGCAATTTTCAAAGATTAAATTAGATGTAGCATAAGCAAGATTAATAACAATATGCATTGGTGCAGATGACAAATGCAATAATACTTTGTCATTCGGTTGTGAATTTTATATAAAGCAACCGAAACTAACTTTTGACTATTGCTTTCGGCGCCAGAGCATTGCGTTTTAACAAAAAATGATTACATTTGTGGTTGTACAGTTGTATATCTTCGAAATCCTAAGGAAACACGTTAAAAGTTATAGATAACAATAGTTTATTAATAAAATAATTTATAAAAACTTGATATGATCATATAAGAACATTATCTGAGCGTGTGTTTTCTTTAAATGATTGCGATAGTAACAGAGAAAAGAACGTGACATGAATCAAATAAACGTTTGATGAGTTATTTACTACATTACTACATTAAATATACGTAACGAGCTCATTATCATAGTTTAAATATTATAAAAAGGTGTACTATCAATTAAGGAGATAGCCCTATAGCTAAACAAAATATCTCTTTTTTCCAAAACAAATGAGTCG